CTCTCTTTCTCTCTTCCTTCCCCTCTCTCTAAAAAATAACAAAAAAAATAAAATCTTTTTAAAAAGTCAATTGGGATTGAATTTTCTCAATCCCAATTGGAAAGAGTCCTAACTGATACACTTGTACCTAATATCTGTTCCAGGTCTTTGTGTTAGGGCATAATAAGTACAAAATTTACATGATGACTCATGGATGCATACATATAGAATATAGGATTTATTATGCTACTGATACCGGACAGGTGAGAGGATTTACATGATCACATATGAAGTGGCCTGTTAAAACCAAATGGGAGAGCCTATTTTTGGTTAAACCTCCAGGGAGGATGAGACTCTTCTTGCCATGGAAATCTTATATCCTTCTATCACTACAAGAGAAAATTCAGCAATCAAAGCTGGAGAGAAATTTGGCTTCCCTTCTCTCTTTTAAGTTTAAGACATTCTTTCTTTTCCCCTTAAGCATTTTTTTCTTATTCATGTCTGTTTGTTCCCCAGACCTACAAAGTATACATAATATTATGTGTACTATGTATGTCTGGTATTTTACTATAGACAAGAACCAAAACATTAGCTCAAATAGCAAATAAATTCAGAATCTTAAAAAAACCAAGCTAATTATAACTGGAAGAATGGCCCTCCACCCACTTTACACACACATTCACATCTATACTCTTTAATAATTCCATGATTTCAACATCTTGTGTTGGAAGGGAGTTGCTGTCACTTGAAAAGGTTACTGCAATGCATCCTGTTTCTTATAAACGTATAGAAATCTGGGCATGGTGAGAAGCAGGAGAATGAACAAATTGGGAATCAACATAACTCTGCATAAAAATGTACCCAGTTATTTTTATTTGGGCTAGACTCAGTGCAGATTATGTTATATTTGGGTAAATATTTCTCTTCCTTAATGTGAATGTCCTTGATAATTATTATTTGCTCTTGTGAGGTATGTATGTATAGAATTCAATGGATAATCAAGAAGAATTAAGGTGGTAAATCTTCACTGCTACCAATAGGCAAAAATTGAAATGCAAACTAACAGGGACTGTGCAGTTAGAGATCTTCTGTAGTATTATTTTAGACGACCTAACTCAGACTTTGGGAAAGATACTACTACAAAGAATATCTCATGGGTTGCACTAACAGGGAAAGGGGGATGGACACTCCATAAGATCATACTGTGGCGAATAGGGCATAAAGTATTGAAGATATATGTACTGCAGAGGTATGAAGAAAGGTGCTTTCCAAGAAGAAAGTAAGTAATGGTCGATCCTGAGGCAGGACTTAAGACAAGGAAGCAAGGCTAAGAATTGAGTCTGTTTCTTAATGATCTCTGTATGAATATTAACTTTTTTGTTGTTCTTTTCCTTTGAACTGTATAGTTTATATAGTGAACAGTTTTTTGTCTTTCCTGTATGCTAAAATTCCCTTCATTTGTTTCTAAACTTCAGTTGTTATGAACACTTGCACAGACTTCTGTGGTGGGGGTATGGGACAATTAAGGAAAAAAACAACATAGAGAACTGTAGCCTGCACATCATAGCTCTCCAAGGCTAGTGTTGTGGTCCTGGGGCAGGATAGAAAGAAGCTAGCAAAAGTCCTTAGCAAGTGGAATGTGGAAACTGAGACAGACAGCTGATTCAAATTGGCCCAATCCAGCACCCTGAACCATCTGCCTCCTTCTCCCCTGCATGACCATCCCCTTAAGCATGAAGTCCTCAGGACAGTGAGGTTCTGATCAGCATTGAACATCTTAGGAATGAAGCCTCCAGTTTGTTGACCTCAGAGACAGTTTGGTCAAACTAGAGATAACAACTAAGCCTCAGCTGTGTTTCAGCTCCAGGCCCAGAAAAGCAGCAAAACCAGATGAAACAATGCCATGGCTGGCAGGGCTAGATGCAGTGACAAATGATTCCCTGCCCTAGCACTGACAGATTAGTAGAGACCATATCCCTGAAAGGAAACACCTGGAAAGCTGATGAATATTCTATTGAGATCTTCTAAAATTCCCGCCTTTAGGAAAGAGGTAAAAACCCTTCAGATAAAGAACCCAGTACATGGGCAATCCAGCTCTCTCTCTCTGTCTCTCTCTCTCCCCCTTTCTTTCTCTCCCTCCCTCCCTCTCTCCCTCCCTCCCTCTATCCCTCCCTCCAGAGCACACCTGCACCTTCCCATCCTTTCTTTCCTAAGGCGTGTATCTTTGCTTTCTTTCCCCAAAGTTCCTCTGTAACTTGGTTCCTGAGTCCATACAGCCCAGCTGGCTCACTTCTGTCTCTGCGACTTTCTTTCTAAAAAGTTAAACAAACTTTTTGCACTAGAGTTTTGGCTCTCAATTCTTTCTTTGCTGAACTCAAGGACCAACGTCTAACACCACTGCTCACAGTCCCAGCTTCCAGCAAATATCAGGGAAATGAGTGGTGGCCGGAGAAGAAGCATGGAAGAGAGCAAAGACCCTGAGAGGTCTGTGGACAAGCAGACAACCTGGGGGCAGACAAGAGATTGGGGGGGGGGGGTGAGGTGTGAAACCTTTTCTAAGAGTATCAGAGCCACCTGTCAATTGTACCTTTGAGCACTGAATCCTTGTATCCCCACTTTCCTCCCTCTAAAAAATCTGGCTATTTCTTCCTCCTTCCTAAAGCTCTCATCATTTTTTCCCCTGGATTTTCGGCAACAGCCATCTATGTTGTCTCCTTTCACCAGCGGCTTTCTTGCTGTGTTCCAGTTCTACACCACACCATCGCCATGGCTGTCTTTCTAAAGACTGTTGGCCATGAACCTCCCCTGCCAATACTTCCAGTAAAACACTTCTTTCTGCTGATTATTGTCTTTAGGATTTCTACTGAAAGTTGCACCTTTCACTTAGGTATTTAGGTATTTAAATAAGTGCCATTAAAGTTATTTGTCATGCTAATAGAATTCCATTTCAAGATTTACCCATTTAAAGATTTCCCAAGTTTTCAGTATTCAGACAGATGCCACCACAGTACAGACATCAATGTCCTCAAAAATCTGCCAAATTTAGGAAAGTAGATGTTCCTACACAGTGATCAAAAGGCTTATGGAATGTGTTTCTCTAATAAATCTGTAATTCCATCAAATATCTCTCATCCTAAATGAATCTAGATGCAGAGAGATGGTAATATGGAATATGATAGACAGCATGGTGGGTTTGTGAACATAAATTTTGGATACAAATGGACTAACATTGGGGCAAGGCTCTTCCCCTCTGCACCTCATCTTTATCATGTTGTGTCAGGGGCTTTCCCACTTAATTTCCTGAAATTAAACATTATATAGCATTTTCAAAAGTCTTCTATGAAGTTAAGTTTATGCCCAAATTTCTAATATGCATAATAGCTTATGAACACATCGAAGAGAAAGGAAGAACTAAAAACTATGCACCTCTATCCATCCCAGTAAGTCATACCATTGAAAAGGGACCCCAACACATCTTTGAAACCCATTACCCTCTCTATTTTCACATCTCTGGTGTACCTTGATTGGATAGTATAGAGCTGATATATAGGGTCTTATCCTCTTGTGTGTCAGGGAAGAACATCACTGATATCTTCATAACTGTCATTAATATAAGACTTCTCCTATATCAACAATGATGTTATAATACTATTCAACTTTGGTATTTAGTTTACATGTCTTAAATTCAAAAGCTCTTCACCCACTGCTACCCACATACACTGACAACTGTTCTGATCCCAGCAGTAGTAACAGATTTTATTTCTTAAGCATTGCAGAACTACAACCAGAATGTTATTATTAGATGAAAGAGCGCATACTGGCTTTGCGATAGAGAAAGAAGAAAGAATCAGGATGAAAATAATCTAGGCTATTTTAAAATGCCCCACATTTTCAATATTGTAATTCAATTTAGTGTTCAAAGGTAACTTATTCAAATGGCTCAAAATTCAAAAAAGTACCATATAGTATGTAGAGAATAATTTCTGTCATTTTCTTGTTCTCCTGCCATTCAGTTATTTCCATGCTCAACCATTGTTATAAAATATTTGTGATTTCTCCCAGAGATAGTTTATGCACATATAAGCAAATATAAGCACAAATGTATGTTTGAGAATGTATATTTTTTATTTTTCCTTAACAATTTACTTTGGAGATAGTTTGTATCAGTACACAGGAATTTAAATTACTTTTTCCTGGTTGCATACTATTCCATTGAAAGAGTTTTCATCATTCATTTCACTAGTATCAAGGGAATGGATATTTAACTTGTTTCCAATCTTTTACTAACACAAATATCCCCATACCTACAGATACTTCTTTAGTATAAACTGCCAGAAGTTGAATTATTTGGTTAAAACTGTGTTACAAATTTTTAAGGAATGTATTCATTTTTAAGGAATTTATTCATTTTTTAAATTGTGATAAAAGTTCAAAAGTAAAAAAGGATACATTTTAAAAAGTATGTTTTCCTCATGCTCCTTTGCCTAACCACACACTTCCTTTTCCCATTTTTAAGGCTGGATAATATTCCATTGTATGTATTGTATATACCAAATTTTGTTTATACCTTCTTCTGTCAGTGGATGTTTGCTGTGTTTTCATATTGTTGTTATTGTGAGTAATGCTACTATAAACATTGGTGTATCATGCTTTTAATTTATACTGTTACATATTTTATTTTTCAAGAGTTCTCTGAATGTTCCATTTGTATAGTATTTTCTGTTTTCAAGGCTATAAAATCTTAAGTCTCTGAGGATATAAAGTAGAAATATATATGTAGGTATATTTGTATGACTATATGTAATGTATATAAATTTATTTTTTTCCTGCATCATGGTACCCATTTCCTCCAAGTTCAATTTGATTGTTTATTTTGGTCTCTCTTTTCCATGTGAAAAGTTTTTTCAGATGTCTTATAATCCTTGATTTCTGCTCTTGATCAAGAATGAAAAACTGGAGCCACCGTGGCTTTCTAACGCCAGCACCTCCTCCAGCTCGGCCGAGCTCCAGCTGAAGGAGAAGGGGGGTAAGTAAAGAGGTCCCTATACCATGGCTCGTACAAAGCAGACTGCTCGCAAATGGACCGGTAGTAAAGCACCAAGGAAGCAACTAGCTACCAAAGCCGCTCCCAAGAGTGTGCCCTCTCTTGGAGGGGTGAAGAAACCTCATCGTTACAGGCCTGGTACTGTGGCACTTCGTGAAATTAGATGTTATCAGAAGTCCACTGAACTTCTGATTCGCAAACTTCCCTTCCAGCGTCTGGTGCGAGAAATTGCTCAGGACTTCAAAACAGATCTGCGCTTCCAGAGTGCAGCTATTGGTGCTTTGCAGGAGTCAAGTAAAGCCTATCTGGTTGGGCTTTTTGAAGACACCAACCTGTGTGCTATGCATGCCAAACATGTAACAATTATGCCGAAAGACATCCAGCTAGCACGACGCATACGTGGAGAACATGGTTAAGAATCCACTATGATGGGAAACATTTCATTCTTTAAAAAAAAAATTCTCTTCTTCCTGTTATTGGTAGTTCTCAACGTTAGAATTTTTTTCCCATGGGGTCAAAAAGGTCCCTAAGTATATGATTGCAAGTGGAAAATAGGGGACAGAAATCAGGTATTGGCCGTTTTTCCATTTTCATTTGTGTGTGAAATTTTTTAATGTAAATGTAGGGACATAAAGCATTAATGCAAGTCAAGGTGTTTCAGTGAACAAGTTTCAAGCAGTTCAACTTTATAACAATATAAATAAACCTGTTAAATTTTTCTGGACAATGCCAGCATTTGGATTTTTTTTAAACAAGTAAATTTCTTATTGATGGCAAAAGAAAAAGAAAAACTGAAAGCCAATTGGGCACTCTGAAAGTCTGATGCATTTGGGGCTCCCTGACTTTGAGCTTTGTTGCAGGGTGATCGGGAAGGGTGTTTGTTGGGTGTCCCTCCTTGCTGGGAGTACATTTAGGTCTTTCCAGTTGGGATGGTCAGGTTACCAGAAAAAAAGACCACCTACATCCTTCCTGAAAGGTTGAGATCCGGCTGCCAGTCTCCTGGGAACAAAGGTAGGAAATGTTTTGAGGAGGTGTTCTCAATAGAATGTTCAGATCTTCAACTGTGCCGGGCCTCCCTCAGTCCAAAATAAAACCACAGACCTAGTGCATGGTGGGGAGATCCATTTTCCCAATGGATGGAGTTGGGAAGGAGATGGAAGGAGGTAATTCCTTTTCTTTCAGCTTTCACCAAACCCTTTTTTTGCACTGACTTTCTCTCCTGCACTTTCAGTTCCAGAATTACTCAGTGCTACCATTTCTTGAACCTCTTGAGGACTCTGTTGTATTAATGGGGATGATTCTCAACTTTCTCCATGATCAGCTCAGTTTCCACTAAGGTCTGCTAAGTCAGTCTGGTTTCACCTACCTATTTTTTCAATTTTCAAAAGTATGTTGAGATTTAATTCCTCTCTTCTTCCCCATCTGTTCCTGTCTTAAAAAAATTTTTTAAAGTCTTTGTTTTCACCGGATTTCCTGAAGTGGTGACAGTTGATGTCTGGGTGTATTCAGTTCTTACCTTACCTCCACATTGACACAGCGTATTTAATGGAAAGAAGGATAAGGATCTCCTTGATTCACCAAAATTCCAATAGCTTTAAGGATTTAGAATTTGGTTTTATGCCATTATAATAATGTTGTTTTGTTGAAATTCTTTTATTTCCTCATTTTGAGGTAATATTTAGAAATTGATTTATTTCTCCACAACTAAGGCATTAAAATTGAGCTTAAATCATAAGAATGCCCATTCTGAAAAGGCTGTTGATGTGTCAGCAAATAAATATATTTTTAGAAGTACAATTTGCCTGTAGACACATTATTAAAAGGAATACTCATTGAAAAATTATATTGACTTATGGTGGATTTTAAGTTATACGTGATTTGTTATTTGGTCCCCACTTGCCAAAAAAGGATTCCTCTAGGTGCTCTTTTTGAAGAAGTTTCACATATCTTTTCAAGGTCATTGTGATTGGTCAAAGTACTGTTACAGTAATTGAGGTGAATTTGCAAGAAAAAAATAAACTTAAAAATAAAAATGGCACCGGTTTATTACTCAGATATATCTGTTCCCTCTGCTTCATTTTAGTCATAGCTATTTAATTTCCTGAAACAAAAAACAAACAGATTTTCACTAATGTCAGTACTGCAGAGCTAGCATAGGACAGAAGAGCCAGCTGTACTCGAGTTCATCTTATGCATCATCAACAAAATTGGCAGCTAAGTTCTGATTTCAGAGCCTTTATGGTTAATGATGATGTACAAGCTGTGCTTGATTTTCAGATACAAGACTGATCTTTGCTGACAGAAAAAAATCTATTTTTGATTTGTAAATTGAGCAAATCTGAGGCAAAATTCAAATGCAGATCATGAAGATATCATTTTTAGACTCACATTTCTAACCCTAAAACTATTTCAGGTTATTATTATTATAAACATCATTATCCTTATAATTATTAGCATTATGATGATAGTAGCTAAGTATTTAACTGAAATTGCAGTTGTTTTTTGAATGAGTCATATATCAACAAGTCTTATATTTAAAAATATATTAATAAAAAGGAACAACAAAATTAATTAGCAGTCAATTCTGTTAGCATCCCTGTCCTGGGTATGATGCAAATTAGAATCATATGTTGCAAGCAAGCATGGATAAAAGTCTTCTTATGTTATGTAAAGAATGGTGGAAAAAACAGGTGTGAAAGGGGAAAAAAATGCTTCCTTAATTATAAGCTCTTTGACAACAGGAATTGTTTCTCAGTCATTGCTTAGTGTACTATTGGAAATTTTTTTTTAGAAGCAGCAAAAACTACCTTGTGTAAAATTATGTAGCTATGAAATACCGTCTTAGCTATTCTTCCATTTTGTCCCATTTAGGAACCCCCACCACACATACTCAGTTCTTTGATGCTACCTGCTTTCTGGAGGTAGTATTCCCTATTCCTTTCCCCAACTTTGTCTTGCCCTTTTCTTATTCCATACCTATCACTCCTTAACCTTATGAAAACTTATCTGTCCTTTGTCCCATTGCTTTAATATTTCATAAAGACATACATATTAAGAACTTGAAAATATTTACTTTTTAAAAATGTTATCTTTCTAGGAGTGCAAATTTGCATTTTTAAAAGGAACTCTTAAAGACCTATTGCAAGCAGGTGAAATGTCACATTTTTTGAGACTCCTGGTCAAGATGGCAGTGTAGGTAAACAAGGCTCACCTCCTCCAACTACATCATAACTGCAGCTAAACTATAGAACAATCATCATTCAGAACTACCAGAAATTGAGCTGAATAGAAGTCCTACAACTACAGAATTAAAGAAACCATGTCAAAAATGGTGGGAAGGGTGGAGATATGGAATGGGATGGTCCCACACCTATGTGTGGGGGATAAAAATCAAGAGGGATATCTCAGCTTTGTAGGACCCCCCCCCAAGGCACAGGATTCCAGCCCCACACAAGGACCCCTTGCCCAGGGTTCCAGGGCCAGAAAGAGAAGTCTCCATAACTTCTGGTGGTAAAAACCAGCAGGGATTGAGGCTGAAGAAGACAAACTTCTGGAGTCCCAGGAAGTTCCTCTGTAAGGGCCCATACATGGACTTACTTGTACTCACTCCCTCTCAGCTTGAAAGGCACTAGAGACATACGGAAGGGACTGAATTGTCTGGCATCAGGGTGAGGGTTGGAAGGGTAGTTTTCTCCCAACAGAAGTGCTGGAAGAGTCCATTGCTTTTCTCCTGAGACCTACCACCCACACACACACAACAGAGCCAGCAGGTGGGTGCCATATCTGAGACTCCATCAACCTGGCTCATGCTGTTTGCCCCACCCTGGTGATTCCCAAAGCCCTACCCATCCAACTTTCAAGTCCATCCAAGCTGTTTCCAGTGACTTCTCCATATAAATGGCTTGTCTTGGCCCATGCATCACATTTTCCTGAATTCTCTCAAATAAGCAGCATCTGGTCTCAGTGAGCCCTGTAAGTCTTGCTAAGAGGCCCCAGGCCTGGAAGTAGCAGTAGCCAGCCTTGGTTCATAGTTTGGCCTTGCCTGGGCACCTCCAAGCAAAGTACAAGTAGCAGCTATCTGAAGATCGCTTTGTAACTTACGCCAGTTGGCCCCACGCAGACAGAGGCTGACCTTGGCCTGCCCCTCCCATGAGGTCCCAGAGCCAGTGTACCCAGTGGACAGCTTCAGGCCACATCCAAGTACTACCACCCAATGACCTCCACAAACAACACATTCAAGGGGTGGACTCAGTGATCACTAAAGCTCTGCTGGAAGAAGTCCTTCTCTGGAGTGGGCCCTTGCACAGCTGATTCTCCCAGGTGGCTGGAGGATGGTGATCAGTCGTCACAGCCAGTGGTTGCAGCTCATAAGCCTGGATGAATCCCTCCCACTGATGTGCCAACAATGATCCAGGGTCAATTACAAAAGGAGGGTGTACAGCCCACATAGCAGGTGCATCTCTCAGCTTGGATAATAGCAGAGGCTGTGCCATTGGACTCTGCAAGACACCTACTACATGAGGACACTCTACCAAGCCTGAGAGACATAAAAGCTCTACTTAATACATAGGAAAAAACACAGGGAGGCTGCAAAAATGAGGAGATAAACATATCATTGATTAAAATATGTATTTATAATAAGGAGGAAATAGTTTAAATACAGAAAAAAGGATTTTCATACCAATGTACTTTAATTGAATCAAACCATTTTTTCTGTTTTTTTTTTTTTTCAGTAAGATCAAACAAAGCATTCTCTTAAAAGACAGGTCCATCTTTTTGTCATCATATAACAGAAACTTCACAAGTTATAAGCAATAAACCAGTATCCCAGGTCCTAATTCACTATCAAGAAGCACATTAAATGCCTTCAGATTACTAGCAAAATAAACAAATTACTCTCCTGGGGTCTTAGAGAATTAATATCTCCCTATAAAATGCTACCTGGTTTATTATCATGGAATAATTTAAACACTTGGGGAATATTTTAATAATACCAACAAAACAACAATAGCACCAATAAAGTCCAGTTCTGTAGGGTAAATTAGAGCTGTGAGGTAAAAATCTTTTAGAAATGAGGGTGAAAACCTCTTGTTTGGGATTCATTAAAAATGAGCATCTAAGAGACCATTTCTGGGTACAGAGTTTACTTAGAATTTGCAATGAACTCAACCCGGGGATCTTTTAAAATTATTTCTATATATTGAGCTCAAGTTGCTCACATAATGAGTGACTGGTGAGTGACTCTAAATGAGCCTGATACAAGACACCAAGGCCTCAAATACACAATTTGATGTTTAACAAAATCTAAAAGGCTGCTTGATTGGAAAGTGTTGAATCTTTTTTAAACATTGGAGATACCTGATGTGACTGAATCTTGGGATGTATACATGAGTAGAATAAGAAAACCTTGCCCATT